ACTTATTGTGACATAATTAGATAAATTCAAAATCCAATAATGACCCATAACTGAAGGTATGTATTTGAGATATAAGAGACGATAATAGGTCGCTGATACACATATATAATGCATTTCGACTATACTATTAAGGCTTTATCTCAAAAAATAAATGCATACTTATATATAGTATGAAGATTTTAAGGACTTGTGTTGCTTACTAATTATTGCAAGCTGCCTAGCAGTGAGAACCGAAACTCGCGAGCCGAAAGGAAATGTAGATAGAGTTCTTTAGAGACAGCGCCGTAAAAACATGACATTGGAAATTAAGTGCTCTTGCTGGTAACATGCTTAAGAATACTAACTCGATACCTACAACAAATAAACGAATTAAAAGGTTTCCATTAAGTATCATAACCATAAAACATAAAACAGAAATTTATTCTTGCAGATTTTTGATTTAGTGATATCATAGGTTTTTAAGTACTTAATCAAATACTTTGGAAAATTATTTCTTCGATTTTTGATTTAGTAATTTTAACTCTTAATAATTCTTAGTAGTTACCTAAATCCCTTAAAAAATAAAGAAATCTTTTAAAGAGAAAGGCATTGAACATATTTTTTAATTGCCATACAAATGTGTGGTCAAAATTTTTAAGCTTATTGCGAGCTTTAATCTATACAATTCATCCTAAAATCCCTTAAATACAAGATATGAGTAAAGATTTGGCCGGTTTATATATCATGTTATTTATTTTTAAATTATTTATTTTTTAAGAGAATAACTCTAGTTTCTTAAGCATGGAATTTTTATTATATTATACATTGATTATTAAAGTATCTATTTTTATATTTTATGTATATTGAAATTTAAATAAGTCTACTTTATACTATCCAACAAATACACCGTAGTTTACATGACATAAGATATCTCAAAAAAGCATTAAACTTTATTTGAAGAAGTCCTTCTCAAAATGTTATCCTTCCACAGTGTGTTGTATTGACGTGTTTACTACCAAGCACTTATCGGTATAATTGAAAAACTTTCTTAGAACTTCTCATTTGCATTCTGTCTCAAACCAACGGAAAACACATTTGTACAAGGACGACACATATCCTTTTTGAGTTCCTGTAATAAAGTAGAAATGTGTTAAAAAAAGTTGTTTTGAAAATTTGAATTTTAAATTTAATTTTGTACAAATACAAAGGAAATCCTTAGCAGTTAACATAAAAATATCTCAGAAAATTGAGTTTAAATAGCTGAAAGCAAATAGAATTTTTTATTGAAAGAAATTATTTATTTTTCAATGTTTATTTTGATAATGTAAAAATATAAAAAAAATATTTACAAAATTAAATTTCTGTAAATTTTATTAACAGCTAAAATATTAGGCTACCAACATCATTAATAAAATTAATAAAATTCATTAATTAAATCTTGGAGTTTGATATCTACATCTTAAATATAAATTATCCACACCCCTCAAGCTACTTTACATTTCAGCAAATTGCATTTAAATTGAATACACGCTGGCATATCCTTAAGGATTTACAGAGCGTATTTTAATGCTTAAGAAATAAACATTTAATTTATTATATTAATTAAGGTTCTACTGCGTTCGGTGCGCTTAAATAGAGCGTCTTAAATTTGCGTACCGGGGACGTAAATATTCCTACACCTACGCCATATGCTACGTCCTTTGTTGAGAGAAGACAAAGTATTTGTTTCTTAAGATTTGGCTTATTTAAATTTTGGTTTTCCAGATACAAATACAGACGAAAGCATTTTAATTTGTAAGTTGATTTCGGTGTATTGTTTAGAAGCGGAAATACTCACATAACCTAACATTTTCTGATTTGGCATTTTTAATACCAACGGAAAACGCCGCGAATTTCATTTGAATTTTTTTATTTAAACCAAAAATTTGTAACTTAGATTACAATTTTAATGATGAGATTTATAAAATTCTGTTAAGCGTCTTACATTTTTGACGGAATTTTTGGAATTTAAATATTTGAAAACGCTTTAAGGTAAACACGCTCTGTAGTCACACTTTGAAGTAAACAGAAGTATATATTTTTTAATTTAAATGTAACTTCTTTAACATTACCACACATAGCGTTGACCTTGCTTCCAGACTATCGGTCATAAGTTCTTAACCTGCATTGCCATCTTAAAAAGATGAGTCATATCTGCCACATAAATATGATGTCCACATATATATATATATCGGAAATGTTTGCTATTCAATATATGCGAATACTTGGGCGTATACTTTGGCAGGAGCTGCAGCTCCCGGGTGATGTTATGAACTTATCAAAGCTGTAATTCTTTCTTTCTGACTTATAGTTTGTCTGAGGTGACAAAATGTGGTATCTGGAAATGAATTGAATGCCAACATATATATAGCGAGAATATTTACTGTTCAACTTTTTCGAATACTTGGAGCGAATATTTTGGCGGGAGCTGCAGTTCCCGGGTGATGTTATGAACTTACAAACCGGTAATTCTTTTCTTCTGACTTAAAGTTTGTCTGAGGTGACAGAATATGGTATCTCCAATATGAATTAAATGCCCACATATATATAAAGCGAGAATAGTTACAGTCCAACTTTTTCGAATACTTGGAGCGAATACTTTGGCGGGAGCTGTTGTTCCCGGATGATGTTATGAACTTATTAAAAAGATGATTTTTTCTTCTGGTGTCTACAAAATGAATTGAATGCCAACATATATATAGCGAGAATATTTACTGTTCAACTCTTTCGAATAGTTGGAGTGAATACTTTGGGGGGTTCTACTGTTCCCGGATGATGTTATGAACTTTTAAAAAAGATAATTTTTTCCTTCTGCTTTAAAGTTTCTCTGAGGTGGCAGAATGTGGTGTCTGCCATATGAATATGGCTGAATGTTTTCAATTGGCAAACATTTTAACAGAGGATTCTGTTCCCATCTTAGGTTATGAACTTATCAAAGAGGTAATTCTTCCCTTTTGCTTTAAAGGTTGAATCAATTTTGTTTGGTTAGCGTTGGGTATATCACAAAAGACCTATTGTAATCTGTTATACTAGTAACAGAGTTTTTTTTAGAGTTTTGTAAAAAGTGTAATAGTAAAACTCATAATACTATAAATAATGATTTATTTTAATTACTTAAACTATATACTAAGTTTTAAGTCTGAAATCACACTTTACTTTGATATTTTATTCTGTATTATTCGGATTCTGTATTAAATTGGGTTCTTAAATTAATATAATTAATTTCTTTAAGAAAACTTCATTTATCTAAAATGTTTGTTATTAACAAAAAATTAAAGTTTCTGTCATTGTTGTGTAGTAAGCCCTATCATCCCTAAATACAATTATTATGATCATATTTTCTTACATCATCTTATTAGCCTTCACTTTTTTAGAATTCTCTTTTATGTGACACAAGCAGTCCAAAAATTTTATGCGGGTATTTCAACCAAAATATTTTTTTAAAGGCCACTGACTATAGATACTTTGGCGGTATCCAAAACAGCTATATGTCTTGGTCAAGAATTTAGTTGGTTATAAATTTGAAAGTTTTTTGTTTTTAAAAATATCCTCACTATTGTCGCCTTTTCATTTGACAATACAGATCTGATATATAAGTCTACAATTTCGTTTTAAATTTAAGTAAAATCGAATATGTTGTCATAGAGAAGATTGTCAGTGATTTGATAACTAACAATAAAAATTAAATTTATGAAAATTTAAAATATTTACATCATTGAGTTTATTGTAGCAAAACTTTTGTGACTTTCAAAATTGATAATTGTTTTTAGTTAGTGTGAATTGAATTCACTATGAAACGTCAAAACCGCCCATCGACAACATCATCTGACAGCAGTCGAAAATTGTCTTCCATTTTAGGAACGTCAGATTATTCTTTATCTTCAAGTGACACTATTACAAACTCGTCAGAAACTACTAAGAGATTCATTTCATCAAATACGAGCAACAGTCTTTTGCAAAAGTCTGACCCTTCAGTGTCATCGAATGATACTACGTCGTTTTTTTCTCAATACAGCAGTAGCAAAGCCTCAAATACAAGTACCCGCTCTCGTCAATCAACATCTGATACAACCATTTCGTTTTCAACGTCAACAGTTAAGACAGCTAAAAAATCTGTGATCACTCAAGCTAAAGCACCTGATAAGGTACCTGATAAAGAACCTGATAAATCAATTGCTAAAACTACTGCTGAAACAACTGCAAAAGCAACTGCTAAATCAGCCACTAAAGATAGCCGTCGAACATTATCTCCTGATGATGACCCAACCACTACAACCCAGCCGAGCACAAATCCAGCTAGTTCCGATATCACTCGTGCTGAGGTTTCGAAGTTTGCTGACTACGTGGAGGATTTTGATAGGGAAAACTCAATATATAAGATTAAGATTTTAGTGGCTGTTGCTGTCGCTGTGCTCTTGGCAATATTTTTCTTCTATTTGTACAAATCACGCCCAAAAAAGTATATTAACGGAAAGAGGATTGTAACCTTTTTAGGCGGTCACTGATTTGATTTTGTGGATAAGAATTAATGTTGATCTTATCTGATTTGGTGGATAGGAATTTTGTCGACTACACACAGAAGTTGATCATGGACTTGGCAATAAATATTAAAATTAAAATTTGGTAAAAATTACTTAAATAAATTTAACGTTTAGGTCACAAAAAATACTTTTGGTGATATATATTTTTTTAACAATATTAATATAATGAATGCAGAAAGTTCAAGGAATTGGGTGTTAAAGAAATTATTCAACATTTACACTGTTTTGACTGAAATTGTGTGAGGGGCTGAACTTTGTGCCTGACATTGACTCAATATTCCCTTTTGAATCAAATTAAGTGTGATATGATTGCCTCTATGAATGCAAGTCTAATATCTCTACGAATCTATATGGCTTATGTGTAGACTCGACCAGTCAGTTATATTAGCTTGCTGTAGAGATGCTGGTGAGGTATATTATATTTCTATGCAATACTAAGAGCAATAATCCATAACTGCATTTGTAAATTAATACTGTATTTATTTACTTTTACCTTAAAATTTGTTTTAATGTCACTAATATGGTTTTTCTCTAAAAAGTTCGAAGTAAGTAATGATATAGTAACAATGTTAAAGCCATGCATTATTTATTATTTATGGCTCAGTCAATAAAACCCAAAGTATTATGTACTCTGAATCGATTTACTTTTACTCGTACTAACCGCAAAAGCCATAATAACACTTAAAGTGCAAATAAAAGTTTATTTTAATTACCACTTCAGAGAAGCCAAAGTGAAATTATGAAAACGTGAAACGTGCCAGCCATACTGAATTTTCAGTTTAATGTCACATTAGACAATGTCAATAGGATTTTGGTCATTAAATTTGGATGCATTGGTTTCCCTACATTTGAAGGGTATGACGATGTCATTAAACCATTAAACGAAGCGATAAAATTCCAACCCTGATTAACAGCGCGAGGATTCTTAATGCGATAATTAACAAATTTTAATAGCTTCGATGCTTATAGTGTGAAAATCCTGTGGCCGGCCATCTCGGTTGAATGAACAATTCAGTGGGTTAAGCATTTTAGAAAAATCCTAATTCGACAGTTGAAATTCAGTTAAATTCGAATAATAGAGAAAACGTGTAATGACTTTATTTGAAAGCATTTCAAAATAATTTCAGCTGTTAAATGAATTTTATTTAATTTAATTAAAGGATAAATTGTTATAAACAATATTTGCTTTAATAAAGTTGAACTAAATTTAGTACAAAATATTAAAGTTTTTATGCCCTTCACATTATTTTGGGAACAGTACATTCTTCTTCTTAATTCCTTTATCTCCTTGTGGAGCTTAGGGATCAGTACATTAGATTTGTTAAAAAAGTTTGTAAAAATTTGTCAAAACATTGAATTCAAAAATATATACAGTTTTAGTAAAGTTCTTTTTATATAGAAGGAAATGCTTATTAAGTGGTTCTTACATCTCTTACAATAGGAAAAATAGTATAGATAATACAAAGCTTCATAAATAAATGTCTGCGACGAATTATAAGGGTTTAGTGGCCTAATGTTAAAACCAATGAAGTACTCTACCAAAAATATTACATTGAACCAATGGCAAACTTTATCAAAAGAGTACTGGATTTGAATCCGCAAGGTAGATGAAAAAGAGGACGTCCAAAAAATTAATGGAGACAAACGCTACATGTTGAGACTAGTGAACCAGAAAAGTCGTGGAACGAATTAAAAGTAAACGCAAACAATGATACGAGGTTTAAATGTATCACTAATGCCCTACATAGTGATACATGTAGGGCGTTACATGTAGGGCATGACATGTATCACCTCGTGCAAACAATGATACGAGGTTTAAATGCATCACTAATGCCCTATGCTCGTCAAGGAGTTAAAGGAACATCGATAACAACAACAAATGACATTGCTTCAGTATTGTAACCATACAGTGCTTTGTGATTAGACATGTGCTTAATCATGTTATCAGCAGTGACGAATGCAAAAAATGCAAGTAACCGGGCGTCAAGAATATTTTGGAATATCTTTTCTATTTTTATTCGTCTTTCCCAAAAACTTGTTAAAAATATTTTTGAACTTCATTTCTAATGTTGTGGTGAACACGACCTCTTGTGGCCTGATTAATGAATTAATACGTGTTTTTCTACTTTTCGCTATTAATATTTTAATATATTATTATAAAAGCACGTTTGTTGAAAGACGTCCCCATACATACTAAACTAGGAGAACTAACTATCAAAAATTGAAGAATATGACACTACTTTTAGGCAAATTAGTTTTGAACTGCTACTGCGTGTGGTCTCGG